TAAATATTTTGAAGCAATATTTGACAGTAGGAATAAGTCATCTTTTAACATTGCCTTTTTGAAAACTGAATCAAAGTCACCAAAACTCATGCCAAAATCTCAGATGTTCCTCTGTACCATTAGAAAAAGTGAAATTCCACATGATGATATGTGTTTATGTTCTTACAGGAACAATCCATTTTCAATGGATTTGGAAAGAAAAGGCAAGTGCTGTACATAGTTCCATGGTAAATCTTGAGGGGATTTGACTGACCCTATCAGATAGCAAAAGTTACATTTTTAGTTATATAGGTCTTGCTTTAACTTGGTCTTAACTGTCTAGCAGAAAAGTGTAAAACATAAAGCTATATGCTGAGCTATAAAAGTCTCAAGTCAACAACTTTGGACAATTGCCAGTTGTGCTGATAGCTCGCTACTATTATAGATTATTGGACTATATTGGGTTATTTTGCTGAATTCAAGCACCTGCAATATTTGGACTGGCATCAAGTATGAAAACGTCTTTTACAGCTTCTTTAACAGCAATGGAACACCCATCTCTGACAAAATAGAACAAAAAGGGGGATATAAATAAAGGACCATTTACATTGATGGTTAGAATTGAGATGTATTGATTTACTCTGTAGTGTCCCAAATTTTTGATCAAGGAGATTATGGAGCCAAAAAGGAAAGTGATTGATGATGTAGAGTGTGCCCAAGGAGAGTCACATGGAGAGAAGACACTCTCTCAGGCTTTCACAGAGAGCACATTGGCCAAGCAATGGCCGTGACTCATCCACATGGTTGACACTGACAAAGGATCTACAATCTGAGATACAGGATCTCAGGATAAATCCTGAGGGGATTTCACTGACCTTATCAGGCCCAAAAGCTACAACTCTTGCTGCATAGGTCCTGCTTTACCTTGGTCTTAACCATCCAGCAGAAAAGTATAAAAACGAAGTATAAGAAGTAAAGCCATGCTGTTATATTGAGCTATAGGGGACTCGTAAGAAGTAAAGCCATGCTGTTAAATTGAGGTATTGGGGACTCAGGTCAACAATTTCTGACATTGCCAGTGAAGCAGAGGACCCAATGCTATTATGGGCTACTGGACTCTTTTGGAATATTTTGCTGAGTTTACATACCTATAATATTCAAATGACAGAACTAAACAAAAAAAGGGGATACAGATGAATGCCCATTTTGTATTCAAAATGGTTAGGATAGATATATAGTTACATTCTCTTAATGAATAGAGGGATTTGTTCTAATGGTGTTTGTAAATAGGATATCATGTCCGCATCTTGTACAGCAATTAACCACTAGGAAGACTGTATGCAATGTGTAAATTATTGAAACTGTCCTACCAATTTGATTTGAAACTGTCTCATTGCTATTTGTTTCTCAATAAAATTATGGAAAAAAATAATCACAGTTGATGGTTACTTATAAAGGCATACTACATTGCAGAAACTTTTCTGCTTGCCTAGATAATAGGTATTAGCTCAGATATACAGCAGAAAACATAGGCCAAAACATAATGAAACTATGCACTTTAAATCATGCATTTCATGGTATGTGAATTATATTACATTAAAGTTTTTTTTTGATAAAAATAAAATAAATAAAGGACCATTTTGTAGGGAGCACATGGGCCAAGCAATGACCAAGCAATATATATATGATACTTAGGGTAGATATACAGCCACTGAGCCAGGGAGATAGGTCAGTAAAATAAGTTCTTGTCTGGAAAGCACAAGGGCCTGAGTTCAATCCCCAGTTCCCAAAAAAAAAGAAAAAAGATACACACAGCTACTTTCTTAGTTCAATGAGAAGAAAGTTTTGTATTAATACTGTTTAGACAAGATATCATGTCTGCATCTTGTCCTTTGAATAACTACTATGAAGATAACAAGATGCAGTGTTTTCATTATTATAACTGCTATTTGTTTCTCAATAAAACAACATTCTCTTACTAACATGTTTTGAAACTGTTTCATTGCTACTTTATCTTATTTTCTCATTAAAATGAATAAAAAATTTAAAAAACAAAGTAAAAAGCAATTAAATAGACATAAGTAACATCTGGGTTCATTAGCAATTATTGGTGATTCAGTATAGTCTACTGAAAATATTTCAAAGTCACAGAATTCCTCAGGTGACCTCATGGAATTAAAATATTCTTCACAGAAGAATACAGCACAAAACAAATGTGTAGCACAGGTACAGCAAATGATTCAAGTGCACAGTCTTTTAGAGTTATCTCCTCCATGGTAACACAAAGAGTACCACTTTGATAATAAAACCACAAGTGAAGAGGCAGCCCTAGAATCCATAGTGTGTGAACATGCATTGGCCTCTTCATCTGTAGAGCTGAAATGACCGCTTAGGTGGGGGAGTACAAAATGGCAACTGACGACCATCCTTTTGTAATACTTCATTCTCCAAATCAGGACCAGAATGCTCCGTCCCCCCGCCCCCAGTGCACTGTTAAGGATTTTCTGATGATCACAGGATAGTTTATATTGTGGTGCACATTCTTTAAACTAAGAGATTCACCTTATTGTCAATTACCAGGACGGCAGAGAAGGGAAAAAAAGCACTCTTACAAGCTTTCTCTTAAACTAATTGCCCTCCGTTGACCTATGAGGTGAAATCAAAGACTTCTATGAACATATGAGATTGAAAAAAGGGTTCAGTTTATTTTACAATTTTACAAATGATAAACAATAATACCCAGTTGCTATCCACAAACAATAGGGAAACGGTTTTGAACAGAATGAACCAGACAGAATAAACCTCATTTTTTCATTTCACAAATGGCATAAGAAATACTCAGTAGCAATCATCCTGTGCAGCAACGCTATCTCTGTAAACTCTTTTTCTTCCTGTTATGTACATTGGAAACACTTGTGCTTTTGCCTACACACAGAAACAGTACTTATTAAAAGGTGCTACTTAAACAAAAAACACAAAGGCTGGAGCCCCAATCTGAGAACTGCAATTCAAATACATAGCCAACTTGAAGGGTCTTTTTTTTTTTTCTTTTTACATTTCTGTTTTCCCTTAAGGTTTAGACATATTTTCCCTTATTATAGCTACAGGTATGAACAGCACAAAATTCAGATATAAAGTAGATCTTTCTTAAAGCAGATTTCTAACAGAAGTCTCAAAAGAACTTCTTTATTCTAAAGAGGTTTTATCTCCAGGGTAGTTCACAGTGCAGACCCTGAAGATATCAACATAACACAAATCTAGTGTGTAATATTACAGACTTGGTGTGTATACACACAGATATACATATATAACATTGTATATATGCATCACACATGTCTATTTGTACTATATAGATATATCTATAGCACATATATAATAAAATATCTATTTCTAGGTGGGCTTCATTTGGATTTTCTTTCATCAAATACAAACAATAACCTTCACTCAACTTTTAAAACATTGGTATATTGATAATGTATGATGGAGAAACTTCCACCCTGGAGAGATAACAACTAACTGTACACAACTGTTCTGACATTCCTTCCACAATTATAGATAGTCCTTATAAAAACCACACGAAAATAACCCTTTCATTAACTGAACACCACATTATATGCATTATGACTAACTGGCTCAACTGGAAATAAATTACTTTCTTCACCTTTTTTCCCGTGTAATCGCTTAGTAACTAGTTGGTATGTACACTACCCCTAGCATTATTTAAATAAAGCACGTTTGTAAGCATGTATGCAGAAATTCCCACTAACACTTGGTGCACAATTCATATGATTTACAACATATGAAGACATTGGAATGCCCAGCACCTTCTTTCAGACAGAAAAATAATAATAAAAATAATAAAATAATTTCCACAGTAGTCTCTTAAGTCTTGTGGGCCAAATCATTGGATTTGCCCTGAAAAACCTGTACTGAATTTTCTTTTTTTGCGGCAACAACTTAATTACTAAATAGAGCGAGGAACAGTGATGAAAAGGTTTCCACAGCCTATTCATATCAATGGCACAGTAACAACTACATGACCTAGTGGGCAGGAATATTTCACAATCAGCTGCCTAAACATTGCCAGGGACAGGGTTAAATCATGAAGAAGAAATTTAAAAAATATTAAAGTTATAACTGTATGATATTCACAAAAGAAAAATCAAATACTCCAAGTGTGCATTTGTAATCTGATTCTTTATGCCCATTGCTGATCAAAACTCAAATCTGTTTACTATTCTCGATGTCAGCCTTCATTGAGCTCCTTGAAGTACATCTATCCTTACAAGAAGGCCACAGGGGATGCTGAGCAGGAGAGCAGGTGGCACAGTTTACAACAGGGAGTGAAATGGTCGTGTGTAGTGTGTCTTCTTTGAACACTAAATACCTTTAATTGAATTCACTCTTGAGTATCGAAAGTTCCCTGAGATGAACAAAAGTAGTCTCGGTCAATACTGAAGCCCTTTTTTATGCTGAACACTTTCTGAGCTGGGCGAGTATTTAGAGAACACAAAGCATAGGGTAAGAAAGCAACACGGCGAAGCTAAAAAGGCACTACCCAATGCATCTATGAGCTAGACTCGAGTGCGCAGAACACTGAATGGCTGAGATGGGTTCATTGTGGCCTTAACATGGTTTCAATGCATATGTTGAAAACACAGTAAAAATGCAAGGCATTGTACATGACTGCTGCTTTTATAGACATACTTTGAGTGTCAAGGTGGACTGTGTATGTAAGAATTTATTTGTGACTTTCCGATTTCTGTTGAATTCAAGTTAAAGGTGATTAGAACAACATTATCTGCACATAGTCCAAAGATTCCATAAACCACCTGCGTTTTATTTGTTGTTAAATTATTCAACTTTACATTCAAATAATGTAAGGATTTCTTTTAAAAGATCCAATAGATAGATGTTGTCATGATAAAAGTACATTAAAGTTCTATTCATTTTCAGCTGTGGCTCTTCCACATGGATTTCATTTTTGTTTCTTAGAGAAACATGAATTTGCACAAATACTGTCTTCTTCATCCCTATGTTCTTTCATACAGCATTTAAAAAATAATACCACATATTATTAAAAATACTGAACACTGCACTATGATGGATAGTCTTTCCCATGGTAACATGAATATCTATCTATTTATATATTCATATATATATATATATGCTTTATTTATTTCTCAGAATGCCTTCTCTAAGAAGTAAAACAAACTTATTTCTCCTGCTATTTCTTCTTTCCCCAGATTGCATTCACCAAGAAACAAGAAGCACAGAAGTTGTTCCTGGCCAGAGAAGAAGTGAGAACACAGTGCTTCTGCTTTCCAAAGAAAAAAGCGCCGTCAGAATTCTCTCCCTGTACGTTACCAGAAAACTGCCTAATACTCTTATTCATTAAATTGTATCAAATTACTTTATGAATCAATCCGCTTTTCCTAAAGAACACATTCACTTATAATGTGGTAAATTTGAGTAGAGAATATATTGGGGAATTGAATGGATTTTAGGTAGGATTGATTGACACACAGTTTCATTGTCAAATGTCTTGAAATTAATCAACAACACTGTATTAATCATGTTATTTCTGCACTAAGTTTAGTGATGATATAAACAGCGTGCCAATCTTTGTGTTTGAACAACAGGAAGAATACCTAAGACCCAGAAGTCAGCTATCAATCAAACACTTATTCTAAGCAAGAAATGTGTACACAAAATTATCAAATCTAAAAGGTATAGAAGTTCTCCTTTAAATGAAAAAAAGATTCTGTTAAATTTTAAAACATTTAAAGACAACTTTTACATTGGTAGGATGAAAACATTTTCAGGTAAATAGCATTATTTTCATGAAACGAGTATGGTTTGTTGTGTAGAAACATGAGTATAATCTTTGGTACCATGAGTGCAATTTTTGTCTGCTAATTTTACCATCTTAGATGATGTGAACCTTCTTTGTTTCAGAAAGGTTCATTATTACCGAAGGGTTCAGATTAGCTGGTACCTTTAACACCACTGAAAAATAAACTGCAGTTTTAAAGTTGTGCAAAATAAAACTTAAAAAATCCTTGTGTGATAGCTTCTTTAAAAATATAAAAGACCGTAGAAATTATTACTTGACATTTATTTTTCTTATTCATTGTGTTTACTATTTTTATATCTCAGAAAAGATTTCTAAATACCTAGTACTCCAACCGAAAGAGAGTCTAGGGACAAACAAAAACAAAAACAAGCAGAATTCATGATCAGATCGGAGTCCTGACTGAAGGCATTTACTTGCGTTGTTTATTCTTCCAACTTTCGCTGCTCAAATGTTTGCATCGTGTTTTCTGCTGACAAGGATGGTTTAATTTCTCAAGGGCTGAGTGGTGTTCCCCGATTTCTCTTCTGGTGTGCTTGGCGTTGCGGCGGCAGCCCGACGATGATGAACATCTTTGCTTCGTTAATTAATGAGAAGTGCATTGTTGGGTCTTGTAAACACTACAGATTATACATTCAAACTGTATTCTTAGTGGAAGTGGCACTTACTAGGACCCTTGCAGTCACAATATTTATTTTTTAGAGCACTTTGCAGGTATTACTTCAGCTGGTAGTGGATTTCATATGAACTGCTTTTATCAACCTTTCAGTTAATTTGCGAATGCTTACACCCAGCTTTGATTTGGATCCTATTTTCAATTCTTCGGAAGCATCTTCAGAAACGAAGTGCATTTTCAGTTTGTCCGCAGGTTCTAAAATGTGCTTTATTGCTTCATACACTTTCCTGTAGTCAGTTTCAGAGCTCCTCTATTATGCAGCACGTTTAATGTTTTGAATTCTAATGGCATTCTGTGAGGACTTGCGTTGGAAAAGTACCTGTATTTAAGGTCATCATAGTAATGATATTTGACAGCTTTTCCATTCAAGTCCTTCGGGAAGGGCCAGAATCCATACAGGTGGATTTCATCGCAGAATCTTGTAGCAAGCGTGTACATGAGGAGACCGGTACTGGGTCTTTTGATGGGAACTTTGTTTGTTAGCCAGTAACTGAAAGAAAGAAAGAAAGAAAGAAAAAAGAGAATTTAGTGATAACATTCTACTACAAGTATTCTATGTATAAAGTTTACAAAATTATCTCAGTAAGAAATATTTGAGCAAATAATGGGAAATATTATTTTAATTATCATCAACTCTGGAGGGAAGGGGATTTCCAACGCTCTTGGAGTATTCATTTCTTTAAAGACAGTGATCTACTGTAACAACAGTGTAAAAGGGGAAAGAGTATAGATTTTCTCCAACTTTAAATGTCATCTAATGACAGATACAATAAATTTAAGAAGATATTTGCTTTTAGTTTTGTCATTGTTGCTGATGTCATTATCAATATCATCCACTTGGAGAAATACACCGACATCCCAATGTAAGGGAAGGATGTTGCTAGGTTTGCACCTCCACTATGTTTAATGTGCTTAATTTCAGATTCAGCATAGTAGTTTTTTTCTTATTTTCTTTCTTTAAAGCTTTTAGAAACCTTTCCAGAGAGAAATCAAATATATCTTCACATCACGTATAAAAACATCCCAAACCTTAAAAGGTTACTTTACTTCAACTGCTCACAGAAAATTTGAACTTTCAGCCTCACCAAAAATATCCAAAACAGGGAAACTATATTTAGTCATTATCATTTTCTATCTTAATCTTTCTTTTCCTCCCTTATTCCAATCAGCATTAGCCTTTTGCATCTTTTATTATTTTCAGTGATGAAACTCAGGGCCTGATTATGCAAATGATGCCCACTGCATTTTGAAATTGTAACAATTGTCTTGAGAAAGCTTGTTCTAGTAAAGATGTATAAGGAGTTTTCAAAGGAAACCATCTGAAAATTTTCTCATCTTAAGGTAGCTGCAAGGGTAAAAATCAAAGCCTATACATTGTTAAAAAAAAAGACAAATTCAATTCAAGGAGTATAGTTAAGCTGAAATTTGATGGCTTTGAAAATAGTGATGTGGCTAAAAGTCTAGTCCTAAAAAAGCAGGAGTTTTTCACCTAACATGATTATCACGAGAAGTTTTATGTGATCTGTCTGTGAATGGTTGTAAGTGTTACCTGATGAAGTTGGGTAGATTTTAAATAGGTATCTTTATGAACTTTTAAGGTAGGCTAAGTGAATTTAAACTCAGTCATAAAATTATTATTACCATCAAGAAATATTAATGATTATTAATAAGTTGGCAGTAAAAAGTTAGGCTGAATTTTTCTACAGTGAGAAAAACATCACCAGCAGGAAACAGCATAGTGCTTTATTATTTGTATGGGATTCCACTATCGTATCCTCAGTAAATGTTTTCCATTTCATAAATACGGAAAGATTTTCTAGAAGTTAATGTAACTGTATTTGGATTGGAATGAATAAATACCAAAGCAACTTCTGCAGGCAGTATGATTTGGAAACTGCTAAGTCGGAAAGAAAAGTTAAAAGAAAAATTATTAATTTACATTCTTCGAAACAGTGTCAAAGATGTTCAATCAATTTTTTTAATCCAGAAGGTCTCACAAGATAATACAAACATGAAAGTCACTGGAGCAATCAGTGACATATCTTGAAAATTAAACTGATTGCAAAGTATCCTGCTTGCAAATAAAGAGTAGAGATGCTTTAGAAATGCAGTATTGTCTTGTTCTAAATGAGTCAATGTAGTTTAAGACAGATTAATTAACTGACCTGTAGAAATACTAGTAGAAGAAAAAAGAAACTTTTGTAATGATTGAATAACTTCAAAGGAAAATAAACTACCAACTTTTCAGACAGTTTTGTGGAAACAATACAAAATACATTCCACTTATGCTATTGATTCCTAAAAAAGCATTAGTGGAAAATACACTTTAATAAATCACACTGACTTGTAACAGATAAGTTGGTCAAAAACCTTAAGGCAGTACAAGATTTAAGATCACCTGCAATTCAAAATTTCATTTTGTGAAATTAAAAAAAAAACAGACATAAACACAGGCAGTGAGATCTACAGTAATTCTTATGCCATGCAAGAAAGTCTGCAAGTCAATCTAAATTATTGAGATACAATATTTAACCAGAAAAAATTCCACATTCACAAAAGACTAGCATGTATATTCTTTCATTCTGTTAGCATAATAAGTTAAATCACTTTGATAACTATACAAACAGTACAGAGTAAAATTTTAAAAAAAAATTATCTGAAGCTCTCCATTACGCATGGTAACATTTAAAAATTTTAATGTTCTGCACCAAGTTTTTTAACCTGTTTCAAAAACTATCTTTAGGAAATTGTAATAAAAATAGCATACAGACATTATGCTAAATGAAATAAGCCAGACTCAGAAACTCAGAGAGAGAGAGAGAGAGAGAGAGAGAGAGAGAGAGAGAGAGAGAGAGAGAGGAGGGAGAGAGGGAGAGAATAGGAAAGTAGAAAGTAAACTTTAGAGAAAAGGTATAGGTAAGGGGATTACTGGAGGGGTGGAAATGATTGGAGTCTGTTGTACACATGCACCCATTATTCTGTGTAACTGACATGCCCCAAAAGAAAGGAGTGTACCGACAGTGAAACATTTACATTGTAATTTAGTGCAATACCTCATCATTTTACATCAAATTTAACTGCTATATTATACATTAAAATTTAGCAACATTTTCAATTAGTAAATTGTCTGACTTCCATGCACGCATTTCTTTTTAGGTAAGCTGATTTTTGGAATTATAACATCCATGCAGACTTTCTGTAGAATATATGAAGGAAAAGAAATGTGCAAGGAAGAATTACATTTGCTCTCATCTACCCATGTAGACCTAATTAATGATAAAATATGCATCCCTTGCCTTCTTCAGCTTAGGTGGACCTTAATATTTATTATAGTCATTCATAGATGTATCCATAATATGTCACCCACTAAGTTAAGTTTTAATACTGAAAGTATTTCCTTGCTCCCCCTTTGTTCTTCTTTCCCTCCTTCTTTCAGTTTGCTTTAATATTTTGATAATCTCTGTTTTATAAGAAACAAAATTTCTCTGAAATTTATGTTTACATTGAAAATCTATCCTTTTATAAATGCAATATCCTCCATAGACCTCACTGCTCCCAGCAATGAAGGTCTACTCTTGCTAACCACAATATTTAACTACTTTCCCCCCCAAAATTAATCTCAGTTACTACTTTAAACAAACACAAACTTGGAATGTCTCTGCCTGGCAAATCAGTGTAATACAGCAGACTGATTTTCAATTGGATGCTGTGGTTGAAATCTCTGACATAATGCCTATTCATCGTTGGGAAAGTCGCTTCATAGTAGGGGAACAATAATAGTTAATGCATTGAGTACTGTTATCTTTAAACTAGTTACTCAGAGTCCAATATGGACTTAATATGTTCTCCAAATAATATTAGCACAAACTTTTCAATGAACCAAGAGAAACAAATAGTAAAATTATCATGTATTTGTTTACTTTTTCATCCCTATTTTTCCTTTCTCCCCATCCTATTTCCTTTCATCCTTTTGAATTTCTTCTCATTTCACGGTATCTGTTGTACTTTTTGTATCTTACTCTTTCAGCTTCCCACACCAGGGAGACAATGCAATGAATACATACGTGAGTCCGACTGATTTTATTTATGGTCTCAAGTTACATCCACTGTATGAAAATGCCACATCTTTTTTTACCCATTCCTCAGTTGATGGGAGTTTGGCTTGCTTCCAATATTTAGCTATTACAAATTGTGCTGCTATAAACATGGGTGCACATCTATTGCTGTAATATAATGTTTTTAATTCTTCTGGGAAGATACCCAGAAGAGGAATAGCTGAGTTGAATGGAACCTCAAATCCTAGTGTTTTGTTAGGAATCTTCACAGTTGCACCAGCCTGCACTCTTCCAACAGTGAAGAATGTTTTCTTCTCCCCCAAAGCCCTGCCAGCACTTGTCATTGGTTGATGACAGCCATTCTTTTTTGGAATGAGGTGCAATCCCAGTGTTATTTTAATTTGCATCTCTCCAATGACCAATGGTGTTGAACTTTGTTCACTTATTCATTTGCCATTTGTATTTCTTCATTTGGGAGTTATGCATTTATCTCAGATGCCCAATTTTGGATTGGACCTAAGTTTAAAATATTTAATATAGAACATTTTTTCATTAATATAGAAAGTTAGAAATATATTAACAAACACAAGATAATATTTGACACACAAGTGTTATGAGCACTGAACATATTCTAAAACAAGGCATGCTTCACTCCCATCCCCCGCTCTCACTTGTCCCTTGGGCCATCTTTCTTAGGGCTGCATGGTGTGGTCATGTTGCTTAACCTCAATGACGGTGTTTCAAGTTTCCTTGGCTGAGAAATATAAACATTCGGCTGTGGGGTTTGTAGTTTCCTCTACCTATGAAATTCTCACTGTGGTTTAAAAATCTCTGTTCAGGCAACTGTGTTAAACATTTTGAGTCCTGTTCTGATTCCACTTCACTTTTCTTTTTCTTTCTTTTATTGTATTTGGTACAGGGTCTCACTACACAGCTCAGACTCATAATGATCTTCCTGTTTCAGCCTCCCCAGTCCTGGGATTACAGGCGTGTGTTGCTTTGTTCCACTCAGTGGCAGGCTCAGAGTGCCTGGGGGTGGGGCCGTCGCAGTCTGTGGTGCCAGGAATCGAACCCTAGTCCCTGCATTTGCCTAAACAGGCGCTTAGTCTATTGAGTTCACTTCACTTTTGTATACTTCCCCCCCGCTTTGGTACTGGTATCAAACTCAGGACCTCATGGTTGCCAGGCAGGCACTTATGCCTCTGACCTATGTTCTCTGACACGTTTTTCTACAATTTTGCCTTCTTTCAGATTGTAATACAAATCAAAGAATATATTTAATAAATTCTTCCTTATTTTAAAGCCAGTAATCATTTAGATGTCATCTAACCCTAAAATCGGATAATGATCATCTGACAGGTGGAGGCGCCTGACAGTGTCACACACTCAAAATTTTAGAAAGAAAAGCAAAACTGCTGCTTTACAGCTGCATATA